CCCGCCACTTTGGCTAGCGGCTCCGAGATAGAGAAGAGGGTGATGGAGGAACCCGTGGCGGGTCCCTCCTCCAGGGTATTCCCACAACGGGACGGATCTCGGGAGCGATCGGAGAAGAAAAAGAGGATTCGGGGGAGACCGAGAAAGGACGGCTCGGGCCCGTTTCGGTCTTCCTCGATCGACTCTGATGCATCCATCGGGACGCGAATGAAGGGAAGGGTAATGGAGGGCTTTCGGGCGGCCCGCCTCACCCAACCATGTCCGGCGACGAGGATGCGGGGATGGTGGACGCGCCTTTGCGCAGGGTCCACATCCCCTCCTCCTCCTCATTCTTCATCCCGGTCCAGAGGAGAGAGGTGGACCGGTGCATTGCGCTGCTCCACGAGAGCTCGACCACGGATGTCGCCAGCATGATTGACAACTGATTGGCTGAAGCGGAGTCGGCGCGTGTCCGGTCGGGAACGCTGCAGGGCGGCTTGAGTGGCAAGCTCAAGATGGCCCTGTATCTTTCCAGGGAAGCCGCGGTTCTGCTGGCCTGTAGGGCGATGGGGACGTCCGTGTCGATCGCGACCGACGTGGACCGAATCGCCGTACTAGGCAGAACGCGGTGCAGAGGCGAAGTGGATCGTCTCTAAGGGGAACTGGACAAAGCTTCTGATGCGTCCAGGTACCTGAGGAGGACGAGGGTGGTACCGGGTGCCTCCGCGTCGGCGAGGATTTCACTCCCTGCGGCGTGACGGGCCGGGTCGTTCCCGGGTTGTCTGGGGCTGCGGGGTCGACCTGGGACGTCTCTCGACATCCGGTCTCCCTTGTCGGCCAGTCCGGTGACCCGCACGTTCTCGGTTTCTTGGCCGAGATAAGTGCGACTCTCACCGGACTGGATTCCAGGCTCGCGAGACTGGAGGGGCAGCCTCAAGAGCCTGTTCGCGGGTTGTCAGGTGCTGGGCGTGGAGTTTCGGTCTCCAGCCGCGCCGGATCAGCGAGGGGCAGGGCCGTTTCTAAAGGCTCTTCCAGGGCGGCCTCTTTGTCCGCCGCCGCTCGCCGTGCGGCGCGTGAGGGGGCTGCGTTGGAGTCAGGCTCTGTCCCGGCTTCGCGTAGACCTTCCCGCGGGCCTGGGAGCGGTCGGGGGCGGGCCGAGGAGCTGAGGAAGAGGAAGAAGACCGGGAAGAAAAAGGGGAGAGGGGGTACTTCTGTCGCTGGGGGTGGGGGCCCGCGGGGTGGCGCGGGGCCGCCTGGCGCCGGTGGTTCATCCTCTGGACCTGGCGGGGAAGACCCTTCTGCCCCTGAGGCGATTTCGGGTCCCTCGCGCGGGGAGGATACCGCCCCGTGGACCGAAGTCCTAGAGTAGGAGGGCGAGGAGGGCTGCCACTGCTAAGCAGCCCTCTTCGTACAAGGGGACTAGGCTTGGCGCGGGCTATGACGGGAGCGCCGCCCCGGTTGGGAACGCGTCCCGCCGTAATGTCGAGATGGCCCGCG